ATACTTATAACATTCTACCATACTGTAATGTGGGAACCACAACTTCTCTGGATGTAACACGATTGAATAAAACATTAAAAAAAATAAACTTAGTACAGCATGGAATGGTGGCTAACTAATATCGGTAATGCTTCTTTCTATCACTTATATATACCTTGGGGTGTCTGGGGGCCTTATCGTTCAGGAGATGATCACTCAAATGTTATTATTATTATTGCCATTTATATAGCGCCAACAGATTCCATAGCGCTTTACAATATTTTGAGAGGGGGGATGTAACAATAAATAGGACAATTACAAGAAAACTTACAGGAACAATTGGTTGAAGAGGACCCTGCTCAAACGAGCTTACAGACTATATGAGGTGGGGTATTAGAAACATTAGGACAGGAAATATCAAGTAGGAGTGATGTTGTTCCTTTATCGGTTTTAGTAAAAATCTTTTGGTGCAGAGTCGGTAATTAAAATGGAGCAAAAAATCTGGTTCGTATTATAATAGTTTTAATATATTACTTCAAGAACAAAAATGATTAATCCAATGTTAAAGTCTAAAATGCTTACATGTTAGTCAGTGTGAAAATACAGTGAGTGATATTTTATATATATATATTTTTTTTTTCTGATGTGGCCCTGTTTTTTGGAAGTTGAGAGAGTTTTGTAAATGTAAGGGAATGTATAAAAATATAATAAAAGCTAACTGCCCATCATGGTTCTCCTTTAAACATGATGCACTGGAGAATGTTAGCTGTGTGACAGTGATGTTATGGACACAAATCATTGCTGTTTGTATAAGTTCAAGATTGTGGGACACCTTCACCCACCAGCAGAGGGTGGGACAAACATGGTCGATTCTTCTTGTATTGTAGTGCCATCAAGTGGGTGTAGTGAAGGCTAACAAGACCCTTTTAGTAAATAATATAAATCTGAGATTGGAAGCACTGCTTTAATCTTCTAATATGTGTGCTTCTGATGGGAAGACAAACAGGCTAAACTTACAATTCACAACTCAATATTAACAATGAATTTATTTCTGAGATGTTAAAAAAAATATGTTTTTTTAAATGCTAAAATTAAAAGTGAAACCAGTACAGGAGGACATGTTAAATATTTTCTACAAATATTTGTGTAGCTAAAAAAAACAAAACAAGGTATGATTCACAGATTGCTGGAAGGTAAAATAATATCTCAAAACCAACATTGTGGTAATAAATGTTAAACATTAAACATGCATAGAAAACAGAGAATAACCCTGAGGGTTGTTTACTAAAATGAACATTCAAATTGCATTTAAAATGTAGGTGTAGAGTAGCTGAACTTAAAGCACTGCTGACTCTAAGTGTTAAATTAATTTTGAATTCACTGTGAATTCTCACGTTGGTAAATAAACGTGCATGTATCAAAATAACGGTTAGAATCAGAGTAGAATGAGGGGCAGGACTTAGAATAGGAGTGTCGAAGGAAGAGCTGTTGACATACAGTTGTGAGTGTGGCTGGATAATGGAAATAAAATCTTGATTTTCCAGTTATGCAATTCCGATGAATAAACTGAAGATAAGGCTGTGCGTATAGAAAAATCCAGAAAATAAAAATAAAATAAAATTATGCAGTCACAAGGCCTGGGGCAGGTAAAGTAAATCATAAGCAGTTTTTTTTTTCATCTTGTAAATTGAGGAATATTGAGATTGTTTATCTGGACCCCTTGTTGTGTTTCAGTTCAGTCTGTCCTACTCGACCCTGGTCAATTTGTGTAGATTCGCTGTAAGAGACAACCCTGAAACCTAGAATGTGACTGCAGATAAGAACCATTCGGCCCATCTAGTCTGCCCAATTATCTAAATACTTTCATTAGTCCCTGGCCTTATCTTATAGTTAGGATAGCCTTATGCCTATCCCACGCATGCTTAAACTCCTTTACTGTGTTAACCTCTACCACTTCAGCTAGAAGGCTATTCCATGCATCCACTATGTATCGGGCCATGAAGAAACCAATCAAAGCAGACCTGAGTCCTTCACTCTATCAGACAAGTCAACCTAAATTCTCAGTTCTCTCTAACAGAGGGCAAATTATATATTTCTGATCAACTACTTTTAGAGGAACATGATCAATCTTCGAAGATAATTTTTGTCTGTTTCAGTAACTAATATGTAACTGTCTGTGCAGGTATTGAATTAATGGAATTTGTTAATTTGCCCAGTTTAGAGTCAGTAAGAGGAAATGGGTAGACATTTACCTCTACAACCAGCTCCCTTCTTGTATAAGAGAAAGGTTGATGAACATGAGTTAATGTCTGATGGATGGGCAATAGTCAACTATGACAAAACAACCCCACTCAGCACTCAACAAATCTGACTATTGGGCTGGAAGCCAAAACTATCCTGGGAAGTCATTGTCTTCTCCCCCATTTCCTGCAAACGTACATGCCGAGGCTACCAGATTAAAATAAATGAATATGTGAGCCAGAAGTACAGCAACCCTTTAGTTCAGGAGGAGATAAGGAACAAGTCCAATAAACTGCGCTTTATGTAGAAGTTATGTTAGATAGTCTTTGACCGTCAAAATGCCTGGATACATGGCTTCTTCTTTTGCTAATTATGAGCAGTAGTTCACACACAAGAATACGTTAGAACACATTTGATGTTTGTGCCCAGCATGGGTACTTCCTGCCACAGCCCTCAAGGCAGTATCACCTGTAGCTTACTCATTGTCCTAAGAGTGAGCATCAACTATACAAATCACATGAGACTTGTCAACAGAAATAAAAAAAAACACTGGAATCTTTTGCAGCCTACCCACAGGAATTATCTGCAACCTACCAGAAAGAGAGGATCTACCACAGTCTTCACATTTGACCAATGGGCACCAGCCACAAGCCTAAGAGTGCATTTTACGCACAGCCTGCCAGTAAGTAAAAAGCATAGCCATTGCCTGTGGTATAACAGTAAGAATTACTGGAATCACCAAGAGGACATAAATTGTAGCCTACTAGTGAGCACCATCTGCAGTCCACAAGCAGGCACCCCACAGGACAGGAATTATCAAAAATTGTTGAAGCCAATATGTAGGCTAAAATCAGAGGATTTTACAGAACATGAGACTCTGTGGAGGGCAAGAAAACATATGTATACTGTATATTTGCTAACAGATCCGCTGAGACCATATCTTGTGTTGAGCTTCTTGTTCAAGTTAAAAGACATTAATTTCTGAGGAAGTCTGATGTGCTTTGTGAGCCATGAGCTTGCTGAGCTAACTGAACCAAGCGCTGGTGACAACATCATTCTGGAATTCTGGAGATGAACATACTTTAAAACTTGTGTAGTTAGCAGCCAGCAAGGTCCATCCAGCAAGGCTATCATTTATTAAGAAATTATTTTTGATAATATTCCTTGTAAAGGAGTGTATGAACAAAATATAAAGTAGATGTTCACTTGTTAAGCATTGTAATTAGTGAAATTACTAAATAGACATTTGTAAAAAAAAAAAAAATATATATATATATATATATATATATATATTTTAGTTGATGTTGGTGCTATGTCAGTTCTACCCTCAATATTATCACTTTTTTTCTTAATCTTTTTACTATTTTATTTTCTTTGCTTTTTCGTTTTGTGGTTTACTGTGGTTCTTCTAGACTAGAGAGTACGTAGATTAATTAGCCAACGCCTGTTCTTCATTAACTGTATTACACGGTTCCCCACCTTTGATATTACATTTTGACCCATTGTGTTATTTTTCACTGTGTGCACATGGTTTAGTTCCACTTGTCTAGACTTGGTTTGTTTTAAATTATATTAATTCCTATTCTTGAGATGGTCAGAGTTCAAACTTTCCCTTAACGGTTTATAGCTTTGATCCTTATCAGAACTTGCTTTGTGTGTTTAGTTATTTTTAGAAAATCCTTATCTAACATACATATATACTTGCAGTTTGCTTTCTGTGGGAGTCCTATGTTTCCATCCTATACCCTTGCCTTTTTGTTGACACTTCTAAAACCGGATGAATGATTATTATTTACTTGGAGACACCTCTTAATATGAGCCTGTATTATCTTGATTCCTGGTTTCAATGACACTTATTACCTGTATGTAAAAGAAATCTAGATTCTTGCAATCATAACTTTGATGTCAGATTTTTAATTCTAACGATTCCTCTCCAGAAAGACTGCAGTCCTTTCCATGTTAAAGCATCAGCCTAATGAATGTGTTTGAGATAGATTTTTTTTCAAAAACATCCTCCTTAGTTTTATCACCCACAGGCTCATCCTCCGTGTATTGGAGTATGGATCAGATTGTGACTTCCGTTTCTAATTAAAGGATTTGATAATGTGGTCATTCCAAACTGGGGGTCAAGCATCTATAGCAGATAGTTGTCCATCATCTAAAATCTTGTTATGCCTTCACTTCTAAGCTTCTAACCTCGTGTACCCCACCGGAGGCATCACACTAGACTGCATATTTAACATAATCACACATTATGAATTTTACTCCCTGAAATTAAACTGCATATGAAACTTTATATCACTTATTAAGAATAAGCCACAGTTATCATTCTAAACTTGGAGTCGTAGAACAAATGCCAAAAATCAACTAAATAATTTAGCCTCAGTGATTCAGGTTATGAATTCTAAAAGATTAATGAAGGCAATGAAAACAAGTGCACTTAAGGGCTTTCCTTAACTAGATACAAATGATACCCACAGAAACCAGATTACACTTTGTAAGGGTTGCTGGTAATTTAAAGTTAGTGCCTGAAGCTGTCCAACCGGTGTGGGGCTGGAGCTCTGACACTATAGAGCTAGAATAGGCACTAAACACAATGGGACAGCAATTAAGAGCGACTGCTGCCTAAGAGCAGTAATTTGGGTAATACCTTAATTACAGTGATGCTCACTTGGATGTGGCATTACTATTGTTTTACCCATAAAGGGAAATTCTTCATGAGATTTTTTTTCTAAAATCAATTATTCTTCTCTTTGAAAAATTAGCCGAATATAGACAACTATAGGAACAGATACATTTTATTACAGTACAGAAAAAAACAAAACTTTGATCAGAGTGGATCTTTCTCAGCCTCTTTCGTTGAAGCCACATACATTTTCCTTTTTTCTCCATTCCACCCCCTCCACCCCCAAAATGTAGTGAGGTTAAAGATCACTGCAGCATTTAAAGAGTCATGTAGAGTAAAATCTTTCTATCTAGAATCCAAACCTGATATATGCTGCTAGTATTGTTCACTGTCAATTTTCCCCTTCTAAAAGACCTGTATGCCTTGTATTCTAGTTAAATAAAACCTATATTTTTTTAGTGATATGTTACTATTGTGACTAAGAGTGAGTGCCTCTCCTCTTCTTAAAGGCACTGCTTGTTAGAAAGACGGCTTAGTCCTTTAATGGTCTCTTTCCACACAGACCGTTTCTGGGTTACATACTGGGGTGTGATTTTCTGCAGAATTAGACTGTCCTGACCATGCAAGAGCTGCTCACACAAAGCTTCTGCTACGCACACTACATACATCCCACAGTCATAGCTGTTGTGCTGGGTAGGAGCATTCTCCTCACGGTAACATGGGTTATCACGAAGCAGAGGACTTAAACTCCTGGCCATAAGTCTGGCATGTGGTGCATTTGTTCCCGATGCAGAGTCATAGTGAAGGTAGCTTTGGAACTGGCGGACGTAGGCTAGAAGACTCCAGTGCGTGCCCCCAGCTTCTGACCCTGCGTTATCATTGACAGGTAACAAGATAAGTTCTTTGCTGGGAAGGTCTAGCGGTCCCAAGAATTCTGGGGCATCTCGTTCACAACATTTAATAAACTGGCTCACTTCAGGACTGAGGAAAGCGATTCGCTCTGATAGGGACTGAGGTAGATTGGAGGCCAGGTACTCAAAGATAAACCCAATGACATTATCATTCAGCCAGTGTGGGGCATCGAGAAGAGCAACATCCGAAGATCGTAAGAGGCAATCTCCGTAGCTCAGCACTATCTGCTCCATCCTGAAAAGTATTCGTAAGAGAATGTACAAGGAAATATATAAGTACATAGTAATACACAGGTAGAAATAATCTATTACATGTCTGAACCCAGAGAATCACAGACATGATTTTTTTTTAAGCATCTCACATCCCCCGATTTATACAGAATATTCTCCAATATCAAAATCAAGCTTTATATAATTGCACCTTTCCCCCCCTATTTCCCTTTATTTTAACTAATTTTGGATATATTTTTATAAACATGTTGTCAATTTGCTGTACAGGCAAAAACATAAATAAAAAATAATAAATGGGATTTATTCAGACACTGCCGAGTCTGATCATTTTCCGGTAAGTCGCCTAGCAAGCAGGAAATGCCTCTAGTGACTGTCTGCAGGGTTAAGACTGCCTCCAGTGGTTGTCAATCAATGTCATTAGTGCAGTTTCTCAGAAACGGCAATAGTTTCCATTGCAAGGTTAAGGAGACAGGGACATTGCACCCAGACCACTTCAATGAGATAAGGTGGTCTGGTTGCCTATTGTGTCCCTTCAATACTTGCTTGCAGGGAACCCATCATCCACTCATATTATAAATGCTAGGACCAGTTTAAAGCCACTCTGCTACTGTGTAGGAGTATTTGCATATTTTGCACAGTGTAGAGGAGCATAGACATACTTAAAGGACCACTCTAGGCACCCAGACCACTTCAGCTTAATGAAGTGGTCTGGGTGCCAGGCCCAGCTAGGGTTAACCCATTTTTTCATAAACATAGCAGTTTCAGAGAAACTGCTATGTTTATGAATGGGTTAAGCCTTCCCCTATTTCCTCTAGCGGCTGTCTCATTGACAGCCGCTAGAGGCGCTTGCGTGCTTCTCACTGTGATTTTCACAGTGAGAGCACGCAAGCGTCCATAGGAAAGCATTATGAATGCTTTCCTATGTGACCGGCTGAATGCACGCGCAGCTCTTGCCGCGCGTGAGCATTCAGCCGCATGGGAGGAGGAGAGCTCTCCGCCCAGCGCTGGAAAAAGGTAAGTTTTAACCCCTTTCCAGAGCTGGACGGAAGGGGGTATCTTTTGCAGGCTACCCACTATAGTATGTTTTCCTGGCACTATAGTGGTCCTTTAACTGATGTCGCCATTTTTTTTCCTTCAGCTTCTGGCGTTTCTTCTGCCAGACCACGTCAGTGCTGTATTACCAGACCCCAGAGGGTGATTAAGGAACTTTAAAGCAACAGTCACCTTAAAAAAATGAAACTACTGTATGTAGCAATACAATAGAACCTTCGCTAATAATAAACATTACACACATTGCCTTAAGATGTTGGAAAGTATTTAACACGGGTGATACATATTTGCTCTTATGTAATGGGATGCTCTTGGCAAAAATGCAAAAGACCTTGAAATAAATATGCTGGTTATTTTTGCATTCTGGTAAAAAGTATGAGGAAACATTTTTACAGTATCTTAAAGGGACACTATAGTCACCATAACAAATTTAGCTAAATTATCTGTCATTTATGAGATAAATCACTTTTGTTTCTGTTTATGGCTTATGCAGTCATAGTCTCACCTGCTCTGGCTTTAACTGACATAGCCCACATGGAAAGAACATAGTTTCATTTTCAATAAGATGATGCTTACTTTAAAGGTTTTTATCTGGTGTCTGTAAATTGAACTTTAATTACATAGAGCAAGCTTCTGCATGGTCTAGCAAGCTATTAACAGAGCAGGAGATAAGAAATTCAAATTAAACAGTAAAGGAAGTTTAAACATCAGATGACTATGTATAGGACATGTTTAGTATGGCTGTGTAAGTTGCATGCAGGGAAGTGTGACTAGGCCTGCATAAACACAGTTATTTAACTTCTAAATGAGAACTGAGCAGTGAGACTACAGGGGCATGATCTATACACCACAATGCTTCATTATGCTAAAGTTGTTTTGGTGCATTTAGTATCCCTTTAAAGGAACACTATAGGGTCAGCAACACAAACATGTATTCCTCAACCTATACTTTTAAAAACACCATCTATCCCCCCTGGACTCCCTTGCCCCCACTAAATATAGTAAAATCTTAATTCTATTCCAGTCGGTTGGTGCTGACTCTGCACCTGATCTGCCTCCTTGGCTGACATCATCAGAAGTGGTGATCTCAGCCCATCACAAATCTTTCCCGTGGGAAAGCACTGGGTTGGCTGAGACTGTCAAGGAGGCAGATCAGGGGCAGAACACAGCCCTGGCCAATCAGCATCACCTTCTAGAGATCCAATGAATCAATGCATCTCTATTAGGAAACTTTAGTTTCGCCATGTAGAGGGTGGAGACACTGATTGTCAGTCACACTGTGCAGCACTGCCCCAGGAAGCTCACATAGCAGCCATCTGAGGAGTGGCCAGTGAAGTTATCACTAGGCTGTAATGTAAACACTGCATTTTCTCTGAAAAGACAGTATTTACAGCAAAAAGCCTGAAGGGAATTATTATACTCACCACAATAAGCTGTAGTTATTCTGGCGACAGTAGTGCCCCTATATCAGCTCCAGAGTATTTAATGTCACTTATTTTGAGTCTAACTGCAGGTGTAGAGCTGTCCCACTAAAGAACATTCTCTACTAGATTAAATAGGGAATTCAAAGTGAATTTCAAACTTGAGGCCAGAATGGCAAAAATGAAACCACAACTAGCTTTTCCAGTTCGCTATTTAACGAGTATTTAGTAAACCTCAAAACATAGGAAAACTGACGTTCCAACAGCAGATCATGCTAAAAAAGCAAAACTACAAGTGTCAACAAATTGGAGAATTGTTCCAAATCAGCTATTTTAGCCTACGTTTTACCATCCATATTACAATTGGCTATAACTTGGAGTTTGGTAAATAAACTCACAGTGTGTATGTAAGTCATATTACATATTGCAATGGAAGTGAGTTCAGGAAATCTGCACGCAAGAGATGGTCCTTCAGGGAAGCTTTACGTTTTAATTTGTGCTAATTTTTCTTTTCTAAAAGTTCAGATTTTCTCATGTATATAATATTAATTCTGTACCCTCTTTGGTCCCAAAACTTTTTTTTTTGTTTCTTTGTGGTGTGATGTAGTGTGTGTAGATGCGGTGTGATGTAGTATGTGTGTGAAGATGCGGTGTGATGTAGTGTGTGTGTGAAGATGCGGTGTGATGTAGTGTGTGTAGATGCGGTGTGATGTAGTGTGTGTAGATGCGGTGTGATGTATTATGTGTGTGTAAATGCGGTGTGATGTAGTATGTGTAGATGTAATGTAATGTGTGTGTAGATGTGGTGTGATGTAGTATGTGTAGATGTAATGTAATGTATGTGTAGATGTGGTGTGATGTAGTATGTGTAGATGTGGTGTGATGTAGTGTATTGTAGTGTGTGTAGGTGTGGTGTAATGTAGTGTGTGTAGGTGTGGTGTAATGTAGTGTGTGTAGGTGTGGTGTAATGTAGTGTGATGTAGTGTGTGTACACGTGGTGTGATGTAGTGTGTGTAGATGTAGTATGATGTAGTGTGTGTAGATGTAGTATGATGTAGTGTGTGTAGATGTGGTGTGATGTAGTGTGTGTAGATGTGGTGTGATGTAGTGTGTGTAGATGTGGTGTGATGTAGTGTGTGTAGATGTGGTGTGATGTAGTGTGTGTAGATGTGGTGTGATGTAGTGTGTGTAGATGCGGTGTGATGTAGTGTGTGTAGATGCGGTGTGATGTAGTGTGTGTAGATGCGGTGTGATGTAGTGTGTGTAGATGCGGTGTGATGTAGTGTGTGAAGATGCGGTGTGATGTAGTGTGTGAAGATGCGGTGTGATGTAGTGTGTGTAGATGCGGTGTGATGTAGTATGTGTAGATGCGGTGTGATGTAGTATGTGTAGATGCGGTGTGATGTAGTGTGTGTAGATGCGGTGTGATGTAGTGTGTGTAGATGCGGTGTGATGTAGTGTGTGTAGATGCGGTGTGATGTAGTGTGTGTAGATGCGGTGTGATGTAGTGTGTGTAGATGCGGTGTGATGTAGTGTGTGTAGATGCGGTGTGATGTAGTGTGTGTAGATGCGGTGTGATGTAGTGTGTGTAGATGCGGTGTGATGTAGTGTGTGTAGATGCGGTGTGATGTAGTGTGTGTAGATGCGGTGTGATGTAGTGTGTGAAGATGCGGTGTGATGTAGTGTGTGAAGATGCGGTGTGATGTAGTGTGTGTAGATGCGGTGTGATGTAGTGTGTGTAGATGCGGTGTGATGTAGTGTGTGTAGATGCGGTGTGATGTAGTGTGTGTAGATGCGGTGTGATGTAGTGTGTGTAGATGCGGTGTGATGTAGTGTGTGTAGATGCGGTGTGATGTAGTGTGTGTAGATGCGGTGTGATGTAGTGTGTGTAGATGCGGTGTGATGTAGTGTGTGTAGATGCGGTGTGATGTAGTATGTGTAGATACAGTGTGAAGTAGTATGTGTAGATGCGGTGTGATGTAGTATGTGTAGATGTGGTGTAGCCTTTACTTTTTGCTTCTTATGAGCACCTGCCCCCTATAAAAATGCTCAAAAATAGCTTGCTCTAGAATTGAACCGATCTAACACCGCATCTATGAAGACAGCACAGAACCAAGAAAAGAAAACCCACCTCAAGTTAGATCTTTTTTTTCACATTTCATTTTTAACAAGTTGCAATTTCAGCAATAAAAAAAAAATACATAAAAGAAAGTTATATCTTTCTGACTCTTATTAGTGACTAAATGACCTAGTATACCCTGGGCAGATACAAACCCAGTGACATTATATTCATTAGCCATAAAAAGGGGAGTTTCCTGGAAACATTATACAAACGGAAATTTCTGTAATGACTTATAATAGTATCTTGAGTCATTGATTTATTTAAGAAATAATGACCCACTAACCTGGAATGTTTACAAAAACACAGCCATACTCTGGGATTGTATTAGTTACATATACTATACTTACTATAACACAGCCATACTCTGGGATTGTATTAGTTACATATACTATACTTACTATAACACAGCCATACTCTGGGATTGTGTTAGTTACATATACTATACTTACTATAACACAGCCATACTCTGGGATTGTATTAGTGTCAGTTACATACAATATATTTACTATAATACAGCCATACTTTGGGATTGTATTAGTGTTGGTTACATATACTATACTTACTATAACACAGCCATACTCTGGGATTGTATTAGTGTCAGTTACATACAATATATTTACTATAACACAGCCATACTCTGGGATTGTATTAGTTATATATACTATACTTACTATAACACAGCCATACTCTGGGATTGTGTTAGTTACATATACTATACTTACTATAACACAGCCATACTCTGGGATTGTATTAGTGTTGGTTACATATACTATACTTACTATAACACAGCCATACTCTGGGATTGTATTAGTGTTGGTTACATATACTATACTTACTATAACACAGCCATACTCTGGGATTGTGTTAGTTACATACAATATATTTACTATAACACAGCCATACTCTGGGATTGTATTAGTGTTGGTTACATATACTATACTTACTATAACACAGCCATACTCTGGGATTGTATTAGTGTTAGTTACATATACTATACTTACTATAACACAGCCATACTCTGGGATTGTATTAGTTACATATACTATACTTACTAGAACACAGCCATACTCTGGGATTGTATTAGTTACATATACTATACTTACTATAACACAGCCATACTCTGGGATTGTATTAGTTACATATACTATACTTACTATAACACAGCCATACTCTGGGATTGTATTAGTTACATATACTATACTTACTATAACACAGCCATACTCTGGGATTGTATTAGTTACATATACTATACTTACTATAACACAGCCATACTCTGGGATTGTATTGTTACATATACTATACTTACTATAACACAGCCATACTCTGGGATTGTATTAGTTACATATACTATACTTACTATACACAGCCATACTCTGGGATTGTATTAGTTACATATACTATACTTACTATAACACAGCCATACTCTGGGATTGTATTTGTTACATATACTATACTTACTATAACACAGCCATACTCTGGGATTGTATTAGTTACATATACTATACTTACTAGAACACAGCCATACTCTGGGATTGTATTAGTTACATATACTATACTTACTAGAACACAGTCATACTCTGGGATTGTATTAGTGTTAGTTACATATACTATACTTACTATAACACAGCCATACTCTGGGATTGTATTAGTGTCAGTTACATATACTATACTTACTATAACACAGCCATACTCTGGGATTGTATTAGTGTTAGTTACATATACTATACATACTATAACACAGCCATACTCTGGGATTGTATTAGTTACATATACTATACTTACTATAACACAGCCATACTCTGGGATTGTATTAGTTACATATACTATACTTACTATAACACAGCCATACCCTGGGATTGTATTAGTGTTAGTTACATATACTTACTATAACACAGCCATACTCTGGGATTGTATTAGTTACATATACTATACTTACTATAACACAGCCATACTCTGGGATTGTATTAGTTACATATACTATACTTACTATAACACAGCCATACTCTGGGATTGTATTAGTGTCAGTTACATACAATATATTTACTATAACACAGCCATACTCTGGGATTGTATTAGTTATATATACTATACTTACTATAACACAGCCATACTCTGGGATTGTGTTAGTTACATATACTATACTTACTATAACACAGCCATACTCTGGGATTGTATTAGTGTTGGTTACATATACTATACTTACTATAACACAGCCATACTCTGGGATTGTATTAGTTACATATACTATACTTACTATAACACAGCCATACTCTGGGATTGTGTTAGTTACATACAATATATTTACTATAACACAGCCATACTACTGGGATTGTATTAGTGTTAGTTACATATACTTACTATAACACAGCCATACTCTGGGATTGTATTGTTACATATACTATACTTACTATAACACAGCCATACTCTGGGATTGTATTAGTTACATATACTATACTTACTATAACACAGCCATACTCTGGGATTGTATTAGTTACATATACTATACTTACTAGAACACAGCCATACTCTGGGATTGTATTAGTTACATATACTATACTTACTAGAACACAGTCATACTCTGGGATTGTATTAGTGTTAGTTACATATACTATACTTACTATAACACAGCCATACTCTGGGATTGTATTAGTGTCAGTTACATATACTATACTTACTATAACACAGCCATACTCTGGGATTGTATTAGTGTTAGTTACATATACTATACATACTATAACACAGCCATACTCTGGGATTGTATTAGTTACATATACTATACTTACTATAACACAGCCATACTCTGGGATTGTATTAGTGTTAGTTACATATACTATACTTACTATAACACAGCCATACTCTGGGATTGTATTAGTTACATATACTATACTTACTATAACACAGCCATACTCTGGGATTGTATTAGTTACATATACTATACTTACTATAACACAGCCATACTCTGGGATTGTATTAGTTACATATACTATACTTACTATAACACAGCCATACTCTGGGATTGTATTAGTTCAGTTACATACAATATATTTACTATAACACAGCCATACTCTGGGATTGTATTAGTTATATATACTATACTTACTATAACACAGCCATACTCTGGGATTGTATTTGTGTTAGTTACATATACTATACATACTATAACACAGCCATACTCTGGGATTGTATTAGTGTTAGTTACATATACTATACTTACTATAACACAGCCATACTCTGGGATTGTATTAGTGTTAGTTACATATACTATACATACTATAACACAGCCATACTCTGGGATTGTATTAGTGTTAGTTACATATACTATACTTACTATAACACAGCCATACTCTGGGATTGTATTAGTTACATATACTATAATACAGCCATACTCTGGGATTGTATTAGTTACATATACTATACTTACTATAACACAGCCATACTCTGGGATTGTATTAGTTACATATACTATACTTACTATAACACAGCCATACTCTGGGATTGTATTAGTTACATATACTATACTTACTAGAACACAGCCATACTCTGGGATTGTATTAGTTACATATACTATACTTACTAGAACACAGTCATACTCTGGGATTGTATTAGTGTTAGTTACATATACTATACTTACTATAACACAGCCATACTCTGGGATTGTATTAGTGTCAGTTACACATATTATACTTACTTTTATAACACAGCCATACTCTGGGATTGTATTAGTGTTAGTTACATATACTATGTACTTACTATAACACAGCCATACTTGGGATTGTATTATGTTAGTTACATATACTATACTTACTATAACACAGCCATACTCTGGGATTGTATTAGTGTTAGTTACATATACTATACTTACTATAACACAGCCATACTCTGGAATTGTATTAGTGTTAGTTACATATACTATACTTACTATAACACAGCCATACTCTGGGATTCTATTAGTGTTAGTTACATATACTATACTTACTATAACACAGCCATACTCTGGAATTGTATTAGTGTTAGTTACATATACTATACATACTATAACACAGCCATACTCTGGGATTGTATTAGTTACATATACTATACTTACTATAACACAGCCATACGCTGGGATTGTATTAGTGTTAGTTACATATACTATACTTACTATAACACAGCCATACTCTGGGATTGTATTAGTGTTAGTTACATACAATATATTTACTATAACACAGCCATACTCTGGGATTGTATTAGTGTCAGTTACATACAATATATTTACTATAACACAGCCATACTCTGGGATTGTGTTAGTTACATATACTATACTTACTATAACACAGCCATACTCTGGGATTGTGTTAGTTACATATACTATACTTACTATAACACAGCCATACTCTGGGATTGTGTTAGTTACATATACTATACTTGCTATAACACAGCCATACTCTGGGATTGTATTAGTGTTAGTTACATATACTATACTTGCTATAACACAGCCATACTCTGGGATTGTATTAGTGTTAGTTACATATACTATACTTACTATAACACAGCCATACTCTGGGATTGTATTAGTGTTAGTTACATATACTATACTTACTATAACACAGCCATACTCTGGGATTGTATTAGTGTTAGTTACATATACTATACTTACTATAACACAGCCATACTCTGGGATTGTGTTAGTTACATACAATATATTTACTATAACACAGCCATACTCTGGGATTGTATTAGTGTTAGTTACATATACTATACTTACTATAACACAGCCATACTCTGGGATTGTATTAGTGTCAGTTACATATACTATACTTACTATAACACAGCCATACTCTGGGATTGTGTTAGTTACATACAATATATTTACTATAACACAGCCATACTCTGGGATTGTATTAGTGTCAGTTACATACAATATATTTACTATAACACAGCCATACTCTGGGATTGTATTAGTGTTAGGTACATATACTATATTTACTATAACACAGCCATACTGTGGGGGTTTATTAGTATTATTTACATTTTGGTGTTTTAGCAGAATTACCAGATTTAATTTACCCTAAAAATATTTAACCTGAGCCTAAGAAAGTCTTCATAAGCAGCAGTTAACCCTCTGAAGTCTGATTATAATGACAGTGTGTATTCTGCAACACAGCCCGGAAGTGCCACATGCTCCCACTACATACCTTGCAACAACCAGCATGGGGGTTTAAAGAGAGTCACATGACTGTCCCAACGTAACTTCCTGTGCGGGCTTCAGCCAACGATCAGTCACTTAGCGTTCATTAGCCAGACGGAGGCCATCTTCCTGGAGACCAAGAGTCCTCATTAACGTAACGGAGGCCATCTTCTTGGAGACCGATAGGACCATAGACATAGAATAGAACGTAGACTTCCGCAAAGGGTGCCGGGAACGGAGTCAGCCAGAATGCAGCTGCCTGGGATGTTGTTTAGAACTCTATCACTCCCAACGTGTGTACAGAATGGATCTTTCTTTTGTTTAGAACTCTTTTTTTAAAAGCAAACTCGTCTGACGCGCAGAGATGACGTTGCCATCGTGCGCCAGGCACATGTGTCATTGCTTCCCCTGGGCCTGGCTGAATGCTGCACTTTATATGAGTGCATTCCTGGCATGCCTGTGTAGATGAGTTCTAGGAAATAGGAAAGGCAGTAGTATGGGAATCTGGCAATCCCTGTCTTCGCACAATCTGCAGGAAAATCTCTTTAGTCTCCCTCTTTCATGTTGGGCAGGGAGGGGCAGGCTGGGTAACTGGCTGGGCTGAAAGGAGATGCCTGACTCACAATGTTTTCCTGGACTCATGTCTTTTCTTCATTGCTGGAGGGCAGTACAGGAAAAGAGCTGCCATTTATTTATTACTGACATTTATAAAGCGCCAACATATTCGGCAGCGCTGTACAATTACGGAAGAATGTACGATATACACCGACAAATACAAAAGGAAAAGAGGGCTCTGTCCGTAAGCTGAAATCTAGCCTATAGACCAGGGGTCCTCAAACAATGGCCCCCCCAGATGTTTCTGAACTATAACTCCCATGATTCTTTGAATTACATAGATAGCCAGAGAATCATGGGGGTTGTACTTCAGCAACATCTGGGGGGCTAGAGTTTGAGGACCCCTACTATTGACTGTAAGCTCGTTTGAGCAGTGTCCTCTTCAACCTATCGTTTCTGGAAGTTTTCTTGTAATTGTCCTATTTATAGTTAAATCCCCCTCTCATCATATTGTAAAGCGCTACGGAATCTGTTGGCGCTGTATAAATGGCAATAATAATAATAGCTGCTGAAGCTGTTATAGAAAGTGCTTGGTTAGTTAGCCCTGTGAGATTACACTCTAAAGTAATATGACGCTTTCAAACAAGTACGGAATTCAAGCAACTGATACAGAGAGTGAATTTTGGGATTCTCATCGGGTTAAATCTACACTGTAGGCAGGTATTAACACTTTTTAAAAATTCATTTTATAGATCTGCATTGAAAATTAATGAAACGATATACAATTAAATTATTCAATAACAGTGAGAGGCTGTGGGCAGATCACTTACTTGTCCAGAAAGTGGTGCCCACAATCAGGAGCCTCTCTTGTTAGTGTGTGAGGTGTTAACCTGTAAACATCTACCTAGTAGGGGATTCTGGGATAAGTATGTCTTGCAGAAGTATATAGGATAAGTAGTTTATATACAGTATAGGATGAGTGGAACTGCTCTATAAAACAATAGCAATCGTACTGCCGCTGTCTGATTTGTGAACTTTAGCAAGCTTCTGCATGCAGCTCGATTTTCTCTGTGGAGCGGTGACAGATCCTTCCTACTTGTATATGCAGTTTGGATTAACTATATACAGCAAAGAAGCAAGTCAAAGCCAGGGAGGCGACCGCTAGCTCCTGCAGCTTTTACAGTTCAATTCAGCATAGGCAACTCTAAGCAGGGAGAGTGCTCGGTACTCTATGCATCGTTACTGTTATGGTGCTTAGTGTGGTCCTAAAATGAACAGAGTTCCTTACTGCAACATTTGACCTTTTTCAAACAATTTCCGATTATTGGGTGTTTGGCAGGATCTCTAAAGTGTTAAATAGACATATTGTGACATGGACAACAGATTAATAGTTTTGTGATTCACAGCTCCGCCTGTGTAAAAAGATGATTGATGATTAGAGGAAAAAGGCATTTTTTTCCTTTTATAATTAAATTTATAAGTGACCAATAAAGTGGAAAAACAAAGAACATTAAAAAGAGACCATTAAAGGGACCCTATAGCATTAGGAATGCAAGCCTGTATCCATAATGCTGTAATGTATCCCTTTTTTACTTTTGACTTGATCTCTAAACCAAATGGTGGAAAGTGCGCCTATCAGTGTACTGCAAAATATATATATATATAAATTATGTATATATTTTGCTGTATGCTGATTGGCCTATTTTTGCTTTGTTGTGGTTCATCCAAATAGTTTTCCCAGAATAAAGTTCATGAATTAAATTTATCTGAACCGAAAGACAACATGTATTAATTTCAGACCACCTGAACCAAATACTTTTTGGGGGCAATCCGATTGTACCAAATGTTCAAACCATACACAAGTCAAGCACATTCTGCGTGGCCAGCAATTTTCTATGTACACGTCTCCGAGTATCCATGTCCAGGAAAACATGGTGGATTTGGCAAACCCAGTCTGCAATAATGAGCAATGTTTCCTGCCTGTGACTGTTAAGGAGAAAGCTATAAATCTAAGCTGGGCTATTAGCTTACACAATAGTAATGTTAAAGCAGGTGTAGTAGGATTTGGTTCTCCAGAGAGTCTAGAATGCACATTCTTTATTACAGAGTGGATCACTTTCAAGGCATGGTCTCAGTTAGTGCTTTTGTTAATAATTCATTACCTAAGAATTAACCAACGCATCCTGGGCGCTCATTTTTAAGTAATGATGCAAAATTATTTCTAGGATGAGATATAGAATCTTGCATTGGGCAATACAAGACAAACATTAAAATACCTTCTGAAAACTCTACCTTCATTTTATGATTAAAAAATCCTAATGACACAGGATTTGCTCAGGTGAATAAGTGGATATGACAATGTGCCATTAAATCTACACAAGCCCAACAGGCTCTCAGGTGACCCACTTAGTTTCGAAAAGTAGTATGTCAGTGTTTCCAAATCTGTAGTCCTAAAGGAAACACTCCAGGCAAGAGATGACCCATTACTTGTTGTTATGCATTAATTTATTAAACATGCAAGAGATAGAATGAAAAAATGTGACTCAGGAAGTGAGTCAGACAATTGTTTTTAGCAATAACTAATTAACATACCTCCCAACATTTCAGATAGGCAAAGAGAGACATTTTAATTGTAGGGTGAGGGGCAGGGTAAGGATATATGTTTTGTCCATCCATTTCTGTACATTAGCTCTGCAGGTGGGTACAGAGTTAATACTAAGAAGTAGTATGAATCTGAGTAGACGATAAGGAAAGCTTTATATGAATGGGACAAGAAGCTGATATAAACGGGGATTCTGAGATGCAGGAACAGAATCAAGAGAGGCACAAACAGGGAAAATTGAATCAAATTGAAACTGTGGCCAAAGAAAAAAATGATCAATGAGGATTGTGTCTGTGCACTTTCACATTTATTTCTTGATTAATGCCGATGATTGGGCATTCAGGTTCGAACACGTTTACCACTCCTGCACTGGAATAGTTATGTGTCTGACATTGTAATTCTACATGCACACAATGCTCTACAGGGCTATAAAATGTCTTTACGATGTTCTCCATATTGTTGGAAACTGCTGCTGATAGGCTGTAAACAAAAGTGTTGTACATGTTTCTATTCATACCTTGTGTTTTTGAGAGACACGATTTTCAATTGACTGTTTTATTATTCTGAGATACAAAGTAGAAATAAATGACTAGTAGCAGCCACCTCTACTCCCATATAGAAATAAATGACCCATCCGACTTTTTCAATGCAGGACATAGTTGTAGTGTAAACAAAAGAGAGCCCAGGATACATGATGTACTATAAGTTATAGTGTCACGTTACGACCCCTCGTTGGGTCTTTATCAATTTATCTTTCTAAAATATCAGGATGAAAGCAGAGGTGATCTCACCCTTATGGAAATGATATATTGGGAAATAACAAAATATCTGTTTTGGGCTATTCATTGTAAATTGATAAACAGCTATCTAGGTCAACATTGGGCTAACTTTGAGGCCATGTCTAGGCTTTCTCCAGAAGCCAAGTCTGCTCCACAAATCTGTAGATCGATGACACATTATCTTTTAATATTCATTTTATATTTGTTTGGGTTGGTTTTTTTTTTACCAGTAATTGCTCCCTTTTGTGGACTGTAATATGTATTGGTCACAAAAGAAATCTGATTTCTGAAGGTAGTTTGTATAACCTTTTATGTTACATGTTATCTTTTTTTATGCGCAGTTAACCTAAACAGCAATATATTGAGTAAACCGTTTAAAGGACCACTCTAGGCACCCAGACCACTTCAGCTTAATGAGGTGGTCTGGGTGCCAGGTCCAGCTAGGATTAACCCATTTTTTCATAAACATAGCAGTTTCAGAGAAACTGCTATGTTTATGAATGGGTTAAGCCTTCCCCTATTTCCTCTAGTGGCTGTCTCATTGACAGCCGCTAGAGGCGCTTGCGTGCTTCTCACTGTGATTTTCACAGTGAGAGCACGCAAGCGTCCATAGGAAAGCATAATGAATGCTTTCCTATGTGACCGGCTGAATGCGCGCGCAGCTCAGCCGACGGGGAGGAGAAGAGGATCGGAGGAGGAGAGCTGTCCGCCCAGCGCTGGAAAAAGGTAAGATTTAACCCCTTTCCCCTTTCCAGAGCCGGGCAGGAGGGGGACCCTGAGGGTGGGGGCACCCTCAGGGCACTATAGTGCCAGGAAAACGAGTATGTTTTCCTGGCACTATAGTGGTCCTTTAACAGCAAGCACAGAGGCACTGTAAAATATATTTAATAAATATAATTTTTTATTGAAATGGATAACCACTGAAATGGAGAGCAATGAGATAACAAATCATACAGTTTTTCATTGATGATGTTCAAAGGAACATCATAGTGGCTGGATGTGGCCATTGGTTGTTTTGACCTTCATCTTCCTGAAAAGCAAAAGTAGTTAGTGGTATCCCCCAGGGTTCTGCTCTGGAACCACGTCTATTTTGCATATTTATAAATGATCTTGAAATAGACATTGAAAGTCATGTTTCAGTGTTTAGAGGCAACACAAAACTCTGTAAAGTAATACAATTCGAGCAGGATTTCTGCAGAGAGATTTAGATAGATTGGGGGACTGGGCACTCAAATGGAAGATGAAATTTAACGTAAAAAATTGCAAAGTTATGCACTTTGATGTAAAGAATGCACAAGCAACTTACACCATACGTGGTAGTGAATTAGGGATAACAACAAATGAGAAGGATTTGGAAATTGTTATAGACAACAAAGTAGGCAACAATGTGTAATGCCAATCGGCAGTTGCTAAGGCCAGTAAGATATTGTACTGTATATTAATGTATGCATTACTTATCGGGATGGAAAAATAATTTTGCCTCTTTATAAATCACTAGTAATACCATATCCATATCTTGAATATGCTGAGTAATTTTTGGCACCTGTTTTAAAAAAGGATATTATGAAATTTAAAAAAGTGTAGAGGCGGGCTACAGGAATGGAACAATTTAGCTACAAAGAAAGGTTAACCAATTTAAATCTGTTTATCATAGGGGTTATGATAACATTGTACAAATATACCTGGGGCCAATACAAATCATTGTCTGGAAATCTATTCATAAATAGGACTATGCACAGGCCACAAGTTCAAGTATTTAGACTGGAAGAAAAGAGATCTCGTCAAAGGCAAAGGAAAGTTTTTTTTACCGTAAAAACAATAAGGATGTTGAATTCTCTGCCTGAAGAGGTGATTTGATCAGAGTCTGTACAGATGTTTAAAAAGCAATTGGATAAATACTTGCAAAAACGTAACATTCATGGATAAAATTTTTGATTAGTGGGGTAATAGCTTCTTGATCCAAGGAGAGATCAAACTGCCATTCTGGGGTCAAGAAGATTTTTTTTCCTAGTTTGTTGCAAAATTGAAAAGTGCTTCCAACTTTTTTTTTTTGCCTTCTTTTGGATCAACAGCAAAAACAGATGTGAGAAAGGTTTAACTTGATGGACAGAGCTCTCTTTATAGCCTATTTAACTGTTTAGATTCATTGTGTTGAGAATCAAAATGGTAATCACTGCACAGTTTTATCAGATAAAAGCTGTGCCACTTTATAAAAACATGATAATATACAATCCTGATCAATAAATAATGAATTACATTAATTCAGTGTTTAAAAAATCTTTTATTGGCTGTTGAAAAGAAATAGCCGATGTACAAGCTGGACTTCACTACAAGATAAACTACACAAATCTTTAGTCAAATCTTGCCAGAAACATCTGTAAAAAGCTTTGCAGATGTTTTAGCAAGTGATGAATAATAATAATAAAAAAATTAAGTTTATTCCATAATCATAGCAGTCTGGTCCTGGATATTTGCACTAGGCATACATCTGCATCTATCCAAACAATCAGAAAGGTTTAAATAAAAATGTCTCCTCTACGAATGGATGAGTGGGCAGAAAAAAATCTATTCACAAAGCACTTTAATTGCAGTCCACAAAGAACCTTGTGTTAATATAGCTCACTCACATAGAGCTGGGATTCCGGAGGAACGCCTTAGCGTGATGTCAGCTGACTTTGTAGCTAGTGCCATGGTAGAAGATGAAAGAACCACCAATTAAGGCCTCAATTGAATATTTCTGGATAAGCTTTTCAAATGATTTAATATTTTATATATATATATATATTGATAGTTTGATATTTTTTAATATACAATAGATTTAAAAAATATATATTTTGAAAAGCTGGGAAAATGGAAGATTCACTTCCCTGATATCACACCTGAGTACATCCTAAACTCACACTACACTCAAAGTCCACTGCTCCCCATGGTTTCTTATCGAGACATGTTCCTAAAAAACCACACATTACGCACATTTTACCCTGCATAGACTACATCTCATGGCAAGGAAGGACTCCTCTACCTGCTTTAAATGCACCTACACCAAAGCGGATATGTATCACTGTCTGTGGGAGTGTCCTATGATTCAGACCTTCTGGAGAGAGCAATACTTAACGAACAACAATATGACGCCCTTGTAACGGAGCTCCCTGTACTCCGAACGAGTACCCTCCATTGACGGACGCTTCCTAGCTTGCGCCGAGGACCACAAGCACCGCACCGGACACCACAACCACTGCAGACTCCGCAACCATCGTAGCTTGACTGGAGTCTTGCCGTCTTCTGTCCACCCTGGATCAGCTTCTGTCCTCCAGGACCGTGTGGGGAAGACCTTTCCTCCAGGAGAGCGTATCAGGAACAAGCTCTTAAAAGAGCTGAGTGATTAAAGCTCAGGGGAGTATGCAGAGCATAGCAATCCCCAGTGTGATATAGCAGTTCCCTCCAATAACGAGACACGGCTACGTGTTGAGGGTCAAGAAGATCTGTTTTACTTGGCACCAAAGGGCCTTCTTTTATGCAGGTTTTACAGATACAGTACCGCCCACACAGTTTTGTAAAATAACCAATAAAGCACGTAACATACAGTAAAACCACACCCATTCACTCCCACAAAATCCTTCCCTCTGCTTGTGATATAATTACTGAACACAATGGGTTAATGTAATTATCACAGGCAGGAAAAATATACTTTTTATATATACACTGTAACTTTACAAATATACATCCAATCTTCACAAACCAGCATACTTTAAATATAAACATAACCAAAATTCAGCCAAATCCGTCCAGTACGTAAAAAGTTAGCTGGAAGTCCTTTATGACCGACCGCAAGCACATTTTCATGCCCAAAACAGTTCCATAGATTTGGGCTGTGCGGTCAGTCTATTTCAGGCAGAAAAATGTGGCCGTTCATGAATTTAGCTTAGTATAGCAGTGAGTTCAAACTGCCGAACAGGACTTAGTCTCTGTAGCTTCAAACTTGGTGTAGGAGAAGGTAAGGGTCAGCGGTGTTCGCGGAAATGTGTAGCCGATTTCAGTTCCATGAATTTGGCTACACACGTGTTCATTTGCACGAACTGCGGCCACCCAGCGGTTGGCAATTTACCTACAGCAGGCTCACATCCTGCGAGGTAAATTGCCTGCACACTTCCACTTCTGGGTGGTCCGCCTGTGTGGTACTTGGTGCAGTAAGCCCCATTTACTGAACCAAGTGTAACGGAGCCATGAATAAAGTACTTTAACCAAGTCTGGGGACACTGGCATTGTCCCAATTTTCCCCATGTCCCAAAAATGTGCTTAAAGGGCCAGCACCAGTCCCATAAAAATCCATAAGCCCCAATACAGTTCTTAAAGGGCCGTACACAGTCCAATACAAGTCCATAAGCCCCAATAGCATTTTTAAAGGGCCATACACCCCAGGGCCATAGTCACAGGGGAGGAGACTGGCAAGCAAGCCTCTCCAGGACCAAGTGGCGAAGGGCACTTAGGTGACCCCGTGCCTAATAGACGCTTCTCTATGATGATAGCGGTGGGCCGCAAAACCATTCTTCAGGTTTGGAACCAGCCGGGTACTGCACCACGTACTTTATTCTTAACCAAACTCAAAATTCTTTTTTAAAATGGATTGGCTTCATACCCTAGCCAACAAGGAACTTCTGGTAAAATTTTTTTTTTTTAAATTCCTCACGTGGAAATGGTTTATTTCTACGCTGGACACATCCTTCCAATCTAGAATTAGAGGAACTTCAGAGTACATGGCATGGTTCTCGACTGAGGTGGTGGCAGGATGGGACCCATTGGGTGCTACTCTTCCATAACTCCATTTACTGTTCTTGGGGGGCAGGGATGTTCAGTGGAACGGTAATTGTAAATAGTTATTGATTTTGAAAAAGTCTGAAGGGAGGGAGAGGAGGGAGAAAGGGAAAAGGGAAAGACCAACATATATAGATTCATGGGTTGCAGAACAATCAAAGCAACGTGGTTATAAAAAGCATATTACAATTAGAAATACATATCTAGAGCAAATTTATTAAATGTAGTAAAGTAGTTAAAGGACCACTATAGTGCCAGGAAAACATACTCGTTTTCCTGGCACTATAGTGCCCTGAGGGTGCCCCCACCCTCAGGGTCCCCCTTCCGCCCGGCTCTGGAAGGGGGAAAGGGGTAATAACTTACCTTTTTCCAGCGCTGGGCGGAGAGCTCTCCTCCTCCTCTCCGCCCCGTGAATGCGCGCTAGAGCTGCGCCGCATTCAGCGTCTCGGAAAGCATTTACAATGCTTTCCTATGGACGCTGCGTCTCACTGTGATTTTCACAGTGAGAAGCAAGCGCCTAGTGGCTGTCAATGAGACAGCCACTAGAGGATTAGGGGGAAGGCTTAACCCATTCATAATTATAGCAGTTTCTCTGAAACTGCTATAATTATGAAAAAATGGGTTAACCCTAGAAGGACCTGGCACCCAGACCACTTCATTAAGCTGAAGTGGTCTGGGTGCCTAGAGTGGTCCTTTAAATTCTCATGACATTCAGTATAAAACGGCATTATGATATGTAACGCTGATTATATGGTTGGTTACTACTTTCACTGTTACACACTCAATGCATACGGAAGCTGATCACATCTCACGTGCATATCACATCCTATGACAACAACACTACCAAAGTCATTGAATAACACTGCAACAAACACAGCCCCGCTCCTACCTAGTATGTTAAATACATTACTTTCTAAGGTTATTTGTTTTCTGTTATTGTTCTTCTTTAACTATAAAAAAATGAAACTCTGGCGTTAAGGCATTTCTTCATGTTTTGGTGATCGACTTGGTCGCAATGACCAAGTCGATCACCAAAACATGAAGAAATGCCTTAACAAAAAAAAACTCTCGTCTTTCTTTTTCTTGTTGACTTATGCACAAGCCTAACAATGTTAATTTACCATGCGATCTACCATTGCAAAAATAAAGAATTTAAAACAAAAAAATATATATTTTGAAAAGATTATTTTAAAATTTTATCCAAAAATATTATATCATTTGAAAAGCTTATCAAACAATATTTCTTATTTTTTTTTATTTATATTTTTATTTGGTTTTCCAAAGTGTTCACATATATAATAACAGTCTGTTCAATATAACAAAAGTTCTCAAATGACAATTTTACAGAATAACAGAGTCTCGCAAATGGTGTTAGTGTGTTTCTACAGTATCAAAGTTCGCATTTGATAATGTCAAATATCTTTCATAATATTCAATATGTATACCATTTCGTCACTAGAACATATTTGTGTTAACAGTTCAATATTTGGTGTTCAAAAATAAGGATGACAACATCATAGTGTATATTCGGCATTGTACTTTTTGGTGTATGTGTAGTTCATTACAATGAAGAATGTTGTGTCATCGCAGGAGTGTGTTATGGTCACCGGTATTGATTATGTTGTATCAATAGCGGTATTTTATACCCTGGTGTTTGGTGCTGTCTTGAGTACCCGAGATGTGTGATATTCGAGAGTTGTCTCTCTCGCCTTTATCATCTACGTCTGAGCGATAGTGCATGCGGTTTGGAAATGTCTGCCGTTCAGGCTAGTATAAAAGTATTCCATGGTGCTCAAATGTGCAGGGATTTAGTGTCAGTTTTTGGATTGGCGTAAGTGATTTCCTCCATGTGTTTTATGCCCTTTACCTTTTTGATCCATTCCCTAATAGACAGGGGTTCTATCTGTTTCCAATAGACTGGAATTAGTTGGTTTGCAGCCATAATTAAGTGGGTAGCCAGGGCTATCCCCTGTCTTCGCTGTTGGGGGTGAGGTATGAGAAAGTGGAGGTGTTCCGGGGAAAATGGAAACTGTGTTGCCGTGATTGTTTATCCAATAATATTAAATTGAGGGCTACGGTAAAAGCTATACCTTACCATTGAATAATGTTGGCCTATCCTGGCACTGCTGATGAATATAAACGTCATCTCCCACAATGCATTGAGGTTGGCTGAGCGTCATAGTTCACAAAAATCTGCAAATGAGAAGTTAGTCATCACTTCTGTAGTAGTTGCTATAAAAATACACAGGGCTCATTGTCAACTGCAGTTAAAGTGTCCTGCTGGAAGATAGACTCCTATAATGGTGAAATAATTCCGATCCTTTAGAGTGAGGGTTTGTTTCGTCAGGGTCCTCTTAACCTACTGTTCGCTTATGTCATATATGTATTGTTAGAATAAAATGTGTGTCTTCTTTCCTATTGTACACCACTGCAAAATATGTTTGCACTATATAAATAATTGTAATTGTAATCAATCAGCTTGTATCTTTATTCACTAAAAAGTGAGTTGTACTGAAATGGCACTCATACTCCAAAATATAGACCAAAATAGCTGGATAGTTGGAGATAAGATCTAAATTGTGCTTTTATTATTATTTTTTTTTTTTTTACAACTTGGCTATGTTGCTTTAAAGGTAAGGTCTAGGTTAAGAAAATACTACGCAGTGCGCAGCACTGGTGTTCAGTGTCTCCACTATCTTCATGGAGGTGCTAGACATTACTCATAGAGATTCATTGATTCAATATATCTTTATGAGGAGATGCCGAGCATGAGCAGTAGCCTCCCAATCCTTTCCTATGGGAAAGCAAAATTGATGGTCTCGGCCACAGAGGCAGAGCAGGGTGGAGCCAGCAGCAGTGAGAATGGCATGGCGAGGGAAAAAGCGATCTAAGGTGGGCTGGGAACCTAAACAGCAACACAGGAACTATAGTGTCAGGAATACATGTTAGTGTTCCTTCAATACATATTCCAAGTGAGCCTCCAATAACTTTAAATGGGCCAAATATAATCTACTGAGCCATTAACTTCATTTCTGTTGCTAAATATTGGAAGGAATGTCCTGCCATTTAAAGGGTTACTCCAACCACCATGACCACTTCAGTGATTTAAAGTGGTCATGGTGGTAGGAGTAGGTATGTGCAGTGTTAAAGGAATGGGGAAAATCCTCGTTAAAGAAATGGGGGAAATCCTCTCTCCATCATCCACTCCCCATTAACTCTAGCAAATTGGTCACTATGAGAAACCATTGGTTGGACCGCACGTGGTCCCAGTGAGGTTTGAGCAGGCATGGAAGTCAGTGCCAGGAGCTCTGCCCAGCTCTGGATTCCAGGTAAGCAAAACCCTTATTTTTAGGGTTCAAAGCAAATCAAGGAGGAGGATCATAGTGCCCCATATTGCAGTTTACACAAGAAAACCCCCCTCCCCCTTACAAAAGAGTTGTAGTTACCCTTTAAGAACACCAGTAGAATCTTTTTCATTGCATTAATAGATATTATAGAAGACAATTGGTCATGTCATACTCTGTTGAACTCATCTAGCTCTTATTTTGCTCTATGAGGTCTTAGTATTTACAATTAAGATTCCTTATTGGTTTTCCTCACATTTTTAGTTGCTTACATTTTGGCCCTTGCACTAATAACTCATCTTTATTGTTTGGAATTATCTGAAGGCTTTGTTCTGGACCCTCTCAGTTCTGCTTCTGTACATGATGTCACCCGAGACCTTGTTTACTAATTTGACCTAAATTATCATAGAGATACAGATGATACCAAAAATGCATGGACCTCTCGTAAATCACTCCATAAGTCATCAATCTTTGTCTCCTGGCAATTTCATTCTGAATGGGGTCACTGTCACAAAGTGATCTATGTAAAACAGAACTTTGCATTGTTCTGCCTATAATTGTCCAAATACCCGTTTTACCACAGCATTTTCAGGAACTGACATAATCTCATTAGGCTCCTCATGGAGTATAGGGTCATGTGGTGCACGTAATTAAAAGATAACTAAAAGTAGTTTCATTATTACCTGGAAACTCTACAGTGAGCTAACAAAAAATGTAAGAAATACACATGGAAAACAGAAAAATATTGTAGAGGAATAATGACAATAATAATGATCAACTGTGGAGGCAGAAAGAGCATATTTATCTCTCCACAGCTATTCTACCAGCATATGAGTATGAGTCGTACTCGTTGGCAGCAGCAATATTTACCACTGCCACCAATAACGAAGTCATTTTTCCATTACTCATACACCAGAAAAGAATGTGGAGAGAGAAATCCATTGTCATTGTCTCTTCAACCCCTCTGCAGGCATATCAGTAAAGGAAGAAGGGTTGAATTAAGGTCAGTAGCTGCAAATCGCAAACACTGTCCAGGAATAAAACTCCCACCAGTCTATGTATGCTTCTGGTGCTACCTACAATTGATGGATGCCATATTGCACAGTGTTAGTTAGACTATGCAATATGTTTTTTTTCTCTGCTTAATATTTAGATATATTTACAGATAAAATATTTACAATGTTATTCTCTTATGACGAAAGGAGCCACATTTTTTTTTGCCCTGAGCTCCACACTCGCATTGCCTTCATGGTGCTGCTTATACTTGGTGTACAATTCAGACCAAGGATTGAAGTAGAGCAATCCAAATTCAGAGAGTCTGATAGGTCTGTTTTTGCTCCATATTTTTCGCTACTGTAGATACTCTTGATGGTTGCACACGCAACCACCCCACCACTAAATGATGTGATCATCAACCCACAATTCCTAGTGTGTAGGGACGCACTAGGAGTTATGCAAACAAACTAAAACAAAATATAAAATGTAACAATCTAAATCAGTGGAAAATTTGTTAAAACATTTCTTGGTGGGTCATTCTGGAATCCTAGTATTGTGTGAGGTCGCCCAAGTCACTGTCCTCAGTCAATACCAATCATGATCTACCAATCAATAGTCTGAGATCAACATTAGATAACCATCGACCACCCCAACAACGAATGTAACCTATTCATTGCTATACTAGGTGAAACTACGCATGAATTTGTACTACTGTAGGTTGTAACAAGATGTATCATGACTTTAATTGCTATGTATATACAACACTTTTTACAAGCCATCTTATCAGGAAACAGGATTAGTTTACTGCTAGCATGTGTTAATAGCACTAAACCTGAAGAAGCCCCGCTCTATACCACTAGGAAATATTGCTGATTTTAGCAACCTGATTTTGCTTAGATTATATCAGCAGTAGACAGCAATTTCGTATATCAATAATGCTGTTGGCACAAGATTCACATTTTTATAGAGTTAATGTATCAGCAATTCAAAGCTTTCATTTCCCTATAAAATAATTTGGCTTGGGTTAGACCTCTGCTTACCGAGAATAGAAGTTTGAAATATCGTTTGAGGCTTCACAATAGTCATTTAATCAATTACAAATATTTGCTTATTGTTAAGTATATATATGTTGTGTTTACCTTCTGTTGGTACGCTGTTTTGTTTTTCTGGCCTATTCACTAAAGTGTTAATAGTTGGAAATTCAAAGGAAATTTTAAATTTTAGACAAAACTATCAAAAATAAAAAAACATAATTGAATTTGAGGTTTTTTTTTCTTCAATTTGGCTATTCCAGATTAAAATGTCAAATTAATTTTGAATTCATTATAATTCATATTTTAATGAGTAACGGTATATTGTTTTAAATTCTTCCCATTCATCCATTAAGTAGCAAGCTTTTTAGTATGACTTTATAATGAAGAAACAATGATCAAGAGATACTGGTCGAGAACAGGCAACAACATGATTGCACTTAGGGTAAGTAGCCAGCCATTACGAAGGGAATCTATACCATTAAAGGACCACTATAGGCACCCAGACCACTTCAGCTTAATGAAGTGGTCTGGGTGCCAGGTCCAGCTAGGTTTAACCCTTTTTTCTGTAAACATAGCAGTTTCAAAGAAACTGCTATGTTTGCAATAGGGTTAATCCAGCCTCTAGTGGCTGTCTTATTGACAGCCACTAGAGGCGCTTCCGCGCTTCTCACAGTGAGAAGACGCCAGCGTCCATAGGAAAGCATTAAGAATGCTTTCCCATGGACTGGCTGAATGCGCGCACGGCACTTGCCGGACGGAAGAAGAGGGAGGAGAGTCCCAGTGCCGAGGGAGCCTGGCACTGGAAAAGAGGTAAGCGATTAACCCCTTCCTCCCCCCCTCAGCGCCACGGGAGTGGGACCCTGAGGGTGGGGGCACCCTCAGGGCACTATAGTGCCAGGAAAACGAGTATGTTTTCCTGGCACTATAATGGTCCTTTAACTTATCAGACTGATCCCACTTTCAGGAACAGTCTAGAGTTAGCTCTTGCCGCGCGTGCGCATTCAGCCGGTCTCATAGGAAAGCATTTACAATGCTTTCCTATGGACGCTTGCGTGTTCTCACTGTGATTTTCACAGTGAGAATAACACAAGCGCCTCTAGCAGCTGTCAATGAGACAGCCACTAGAGGATTTGAGGGCTGGATTAACCCATTTATAAACATAGCAGTTTCTCTGAAACTGCGATGTTTATAAAAAAATGGGTTAACCCTAGCTGGACCAGGCACCCAGACCACTTCATTAAGCTGAAGTGGTCTGGGTGCCTAGAGTGGTCCTTTAATTCCTCTTTTAGATTTCCTATTAATGGGGGGCAAACCATAATAAGAGCATGCATGGGGGCGGAGCCTAGCTTCCAGGCTGCATGGACGTGCCGAATATCAGCTCCTGACACAAGCCACATAATTGGGAGAAAAACACAGGAAAATCGGCTTGTACATCAGTTGGAAGGTGATAACTGATACTGGGACACCCGGGTGAATCGATTGACATCAAGCTTGTAACAAATACAGACCGGGAACCCGCAAACAGAGCATGGGGCCTACCTGTCATAGAGCCGGGGAGAGGCGGCCGCTCTCCTCGCTGGCAAATCTGCACACTGACCCCTCTGCTTACTCACCTCCTACCCCTCCTATGGACTGGTAGGGGATATCCTGGTCTTTCCTGGGTGTCTGGAGCGGTCAGCACGAATCGACCTTTACTAGAACAATACAGCGCACCTAAGATGACGGCTGAAAACACGACACTCAAGCAAAGTCTGCTTCCACACCACATGC